GGCCTCTCGTCCCGCGCGGCCGTGGTCGCAGCCGCCGCCTCCCTCGCTGGCACCGCAGACACCACCCAGACCCAGTCAGGTCTTTTCTCTCTGGCACCCTCCTTCCTTGGGTCCGCCTCAGCCGGCCAGGCGCGGGGCCCGCTGCCGCAGCGGGAGGGAGACTGGAGGGGGAACCGAGGGGGCGAGCGGAGTCCTCGCCGAGCCAGGAGTTGGCCACTGACTGGAGGAAGGTGCCAAAGCTGACCCGGGCTCCAGACTGCGAGCGGGCGGGGGGCGGGACGGAGCCCAGCTCGTTCCACTTCCACCAATCACAAGCCGCTCCACAGAGTTGGTGGCGCTTCGGGCTTCAGGAGAGGCTGAGCTGACGCGGCAGGAGGCGGGGATTGCGGAAAAGAAGAGCCACTAGGAGCCAAGGCTCCCTGTCCCTCGCCTTGATGGACTGCCACGTTTGGACCAATGGGGGAATTCTTATTTCGAAGAAAGCGGGACTTGCTTGCCGGGGTTGGGAAAGGGGGTATGTGGAGGGGGAGGGGTCGAGGCTGGACGCTGCGACGTAACCCGGTGGAAGAGCAGAGAGGGCAGGAGGATGCGCTCTGACCTCCCGGGGGATCACGTGGGCTGACCGGAGGCAGGGGCGGAAAAGCTGGGTAAGTTCCTTCCGGGTCATTGACTGAAGCGTCAACACCTGTGGGTAGCCGGTTCGTCTTCCCTGCGTCCTTGTCCCTGCCCCCCGGACGGGGCGGTTGTGGTTTCGTCGATGAGCTCCCAGAAGGGCAACGTGTCTCGTTCCAGGCCTCAGAAGCACCAGAACACATTTAGCTTCAGAAATGACAAGTTTGATAAGAGTGTTCAGACTAAGGTAGGAACCTGCCTATTACGCTGTCTGGCTCCAGGAAGGAGTGGTTCATTGCACCGGGGAGGGAGGAAATGAGAGGAGTCGGAGAGGGCGAGTGTGGACCGCAGCCCAGAGTTAGTCTTGGCTGCCTTGCAACTCTTTCCAAAATACGATTCTCACGCTCTTTCTTTGACCTGGATATGTAATCTCCCGGCAAATATGTTTGATGGTCAACACGCTTACCTGATCGCACACTGAATAACTGCACCCTGAACCTAAGGTGCAAATGGGCATATGGAGTCATTGAACGCTTCCACCTGGATCACATATTCGCAGTAGGAAAACGAGGTTTATGGCGCGAGTGTCTCTTTCTAATTTTACACCAAGTGTATGCAACCACTATTCTTGGAGAATCCCAAGCCCTTAGGTTTGTAGAGAAAATGTAAGCTATTAAGCGCTCTTAGTCTCAGTGCCCTCACCAACATAATGGGAATTTCTGTCTGTTATGTAAAATTGTTTTGAAGATCGCCAAATTATTTGGTTAATGTAAAAATGCTTGTTTTGCTGTATGTAAGATACTTACTTTGTTAGCAGGATGACTGTAAACTGGAAGAAAATTCAGATTGTCTAGATAGCCCGAAGGCTTGGGTTGTTTGTAACTACTAATTTGCTGCGGATATCTCTCTCTGCCCCCATATCTGTATAGAGAGGAGATAATTGACAAGGGCATACTGGAGGCCTGCAGCACGTCAGATAAACCAGATATTCACATAAACTGGAGTTCAAATATTTGCATACATATCATGTATTCGAAAGAGTTGACTCTGCCTTCACAGAGCTTATAGTTGTGGGGTGATAATGGACAATAAGAACGATACACACTTCAAATTGTGATAAATGTTAATGAAGGGTAAGACAGTTCTGTAGGGAAAATAACAAAGACTATTTCAAATTGGATGCGCCTCTCTTTTTCTCTATTTATGTTGAGAGAATTTTCAGAAAGAAAACCTGGAACAACATTTGGGAAGACTTTCCCAAGTTTGTTCCTATTATCAATAGGTAAACCAGAATAAAAAGCTGCACTGTTCCAAATAGATGTTTTGTATCTTATGTATTTTTGTTCTAAGATTTTACACAGACATTTGATTCTGGTTTTTTTTATCTGTTTTCATAGAAAGCAGTTTTACTAAGTATTTAATTGTGGTATAGCTATTCCTATACTTCTTGCACTGCACCCCAGCCACTCTATCTCCCAGGCTGGGGTGCAGTGGGATGATCACAGCTTAGACAATCTGTTCACTATCGCCTCTGGAACACCTGGGACTACAGGCACACACAACTCTACACCTGACTTAGTGTTTTGATTTTTTTTGTAGAGATGGGGTTTCCCTGTGTTGCCCTGGCTGGTCTCAAACCCCTGGACTCGAGCGATCCTCTTGCCTTGGCCTCCCAAAGTGCTGGGATTACAGGCAGGAGCCACTGCAATCGGCCTTGTACTTTTCTTTGTGCGGTTTCTTGGTATTATGTAATACTTATGTCATTCTGGTCTTCAGTGTTTTCATAGGTCTCAGGTTTAGTCATTAGGTTTCATTTTATTACTTTTCAATTTCTTTCACATAAGTTGTGAAGTCTCATTTGTCAATTGGAAGAACCACCAGGCATTTTGTTATTGAAGTTCTGACAAAAACAGCAAGAAATATTTTACTGAGGAAAAATTAGGTTGATGGTTCATCTGTCTATGGATGATTAATAATTGGCCATGATCATAGTACATTTCTTGAATCAGCCGTTTAAAGCCAAGCCTTTGTCAGAAGCATCTGACCTCATCTTCGTGCCTATTCTTTTCACTGGAAGGCTGTTTGATTTGGTGATATCTAAAAAAGGAGTGCTAAGAAATGCACAGTCCTCTGTAATTCCTCCTACAGGACTGTGGTAATAAATACAAGTACTTGGTAGGGATTCTGCTTTATGGTTTCTCTTTTCGTCCTCTGCCAAGTTTGTTAGGACTTCACTGCAATTAGAAGCTGGATAATGACAGAAGTTATACTGAAGTTTATCTAGGTAAACACCCATTTTCAAAAGAACTCAGGTGATAACTGTCTTCATATACTTGAATATATTCTAGAAAAGGAGAGAAACGTGTTTTGTGGCATTCCAAATGGCCAAACTTGGACCAAGGTGTCAAGGTAATGAAGATAAGTTTCAGCACAATATGAGGGCATTGCCTAGCAGTGAAGGAGCATGCTTTAGGATTTTGTAACCTCCCCTTCTTTGTGGTTATTTAAAAGAAACCTCCTGGCTATTGGTCATCAGTGCCCTCACATGACTTACAGGAATTGAAAGGAGTGGATGGTGGGAATAGATTTGCATTTGTTTCTAATACTTTGATACTGAAATGTTGATTCTGTCAAGGTAGCCTTGTTTCCTTTACAGGAGATGTGTAATGAAAAGATCATTGGTCTAAGAGAAATGAGCCGTATTTTAGCTCTAGTTCTGTAATTTATATTGCTTTGTGATGTCAGACAGTTTATAGCTTTTTTATAGTTGTTACTAGGTTAATACTATCTCTTGTGAGCCCTCTCAGGATTGCAGGGATTATTACAAATATATTTTTTAAGAATTAGAAACTAAAAACAGAAGAACAGAGTATACAGACTAAGAACAGAGCTTGTGACAGTTTATGTGAACCTGCAGTTAATCAAAGCCTAAGAATTAATTAGAACAGAAATGCATACTTGTTGAATATAGAAATACCGTATAAATGTGAAAGTCTCCATTCTCAGTTTTAGTTCTGTTTAGATGTAGTCAATTAACAATTTTATGTGCACATTTCTAGACATCTATGTATAACAGTGCATATATAATAAATAACATTTTTCTCATTTAGCAAATTTGGTATGTCACAACATAGAGATTAATTAAGCTCATTCTTTTTAATGACTGTATAATATAAATGTAGAGTAACTTATTCAATTACTTTCCTAATAAACATTTGAGTTATTTTCAGCTTTTCATTATGCCAAAAAGGCTGCTGTGAAATCCTTGTGTCCACATGTTTATTCCACATCTGGCACCAGATATTGTGCCAGGTATGGGGTTGAACAAAATACACAGTCACAGCTTTAATTGAAGCTTTCAGTTTGGCAGGAGAAGTGGCATTAATTAAATGTCTTTCAAGTATGTTAATACCAACAGCATTAAAAGCTACGAAAGAAAAGTCTAGGAAACCCTGAGAGCATCTAACAGGAAGTCTTGATTAAGATGGGAGGGTTAAGGAAGGCACCCCTGAAGTCTGAAGGATGAGCAGCATTTAAACAGGTAAAATGGGAAGATCATACGTCATCCTCCTGAGGATGCTAGTTGTTTTATGTGTATAGTCAGCATTCTTTTTACCAGGATCATGTGATCTTTCTGATAGGGCAGGAGTAAATTTCATGGTCAGATCACTTTGTAAAGACTGTGTACTAGATCTCACTTTTTGCAGGGTCATAGTGTAGATTACATTTTAAAGGAATGCTTTGTAGTTTAAAAAATTAAGTTGGTGAAGAAGCCAAACTCTATAAAATACATAAAGAGATTTATTCTGAGTTTAATATGCGTAACCATGGGCTAGGGTACTGTCTCAAGAGATCCTGAGAATGTATACTTGAGGTGGTTGGGTTACAACTTTTATACATTTTGGAGAGATAGAATTGACAGACATAAATCAGTACAATGTAAGGTATACATTCGTTTGATCTGGAAAGGCAAGACATCTTGAACAGCCGGGCCTTTTAGGTTATAAGTGGATTCAAGAAATTTCTGAATGACAATTGGCTGAAAGAGTTAAGCTTTGTCTAAAGAGTCTGAAGTCAGTAGAAAGAAATGCTTGAGTTAAGATGTGGGAGATTGTGAAAGCCAAGGTTCTTGTTATGTTGATGAAGGCTCTAAGTAGCAGGTTTCAGAGAGAATAGATGGTAAATGTCTCTTTTCCGATACTTAAAAGGTGTCAGAATCTTAGTTAATCTTTCCTAGATCCCGGGAAGACCTTAGAAAAGGAAAGAGATTTTCTGCAGGTGCAAATTTCCCCCACATGAGTAGGCTTTCCGGGGCCATTTCAAAATATGTACAAGAAATACATCTTTGGGGTAAAATACTTTGATTTCCTTTAGAACCTGCTGTCAGGTGATGCTGTACTGGAGTTAGTTTGGAATTTGGTGTCTTGTTGCTGGGGTGTCTGATTTGTGACGATCTTTTTAAATTTTAATGCTGGTCACTTGTGCCTAAACCTTAAACTAGAGGGGGTCATAATGAGGCTTGTCCAACCTCCCTTCCCATCATGGCCAGAGTTCACTTTATCATTTTCCCTTGGCCCGAAAGGGGTACGTTCAGTCAGTTGGGGGGCTTAGGATTTTATTTTTGGTTTCCATTATCTAGCCAAAATTTGTTTGGCTAAAGGGCTCTTTGGTTTACATAATAATAATTACTGAACTAGTTTATTGTGGAACACACTCATTTTGGAAAACTCTGGTCTTTGCCTTGATATGAAGATAAAAAATAAAAGTTTGGCTATACTCTGAATAGTTTTGGAAATGCAGTTTCATGATTACAGGTTGTAATTATCTGAAATGCATGGGACCAGAAGTTTTTCGTGAGGCAGGGTAGCTAACACAAGTTAGTCTTAGATATGTTTTCCATAGGCAAGTTTTAGGAAGTGTTCAGACTTTTTTTTAAATTACATTTTGCAGCAGGCCAAGCTGGCATCCTATCCCAACCCCAAGTCAAAAGAACCCTATCAGATGTAAGAATACAGCAGCTCAACCTTTCAATTCATGGTTTAGCATAATAATCACCAAAAATCTTTCAGTTCGAATACCACCCCTTAACTGACCAAAGCAATAGAAATGTTAATAAGACCAACTTTCAGTTCATTAACTTATGAATTGAAAACATCTGGCAGGTCTCCTGCAAAAGACAATGTGTTTTGGAAAAGACCACCAATCCTGCCATCAGAAGTGGAGAGATGTTAATCTCTCTGGAGTGGC